AAACCTAACCTTCACAATTTTTATATTATATGTGAATGGATAATTGATTATTTGTGTATTTTCTATATGTTTTAATTAAATAATTAAAATATTTGATGCATGTTCATGTTCATGTTATTTTATTTATTTATTGTTTATATATGACAAAAAATAATATGAAATTAGATGTATGTAAATTCTAGAATCAACATGCTAACCCTACCCACCCTCACATGTGGGGATTGGGGAGGGTAGGGTGAGGGAGAGTTTTGCATTATCATGTGTATCAGTGAGTTTGACTTTTCAAAATCCATTCCGCTATGGATTTTGAGAGAATACGGATTAAAAGATCTAGAAACATAAATAGAATCTAAAATTTACAAAACCCTTCCTGAACCCCCTATACAGTAGAGATCTCATGGCTTTCTCAACAAAAGCACTATCATGTGTTACATTATCATGTGCCCCGGGAGTTTGTCTTTTGAAAATCCATTCCGCTATGGATTTGAAGAGGGTACGGTTGAAAGATCTAGAAAGCATGAATAGAATAAAAAATTTACAAAACCCTTCCTTAACCTCCTATACAGTAGCATAGAGATCTCGCGGCTTTCTCAGTAAAAGCATCTCTGACCTGGTCCAAATATTTATACTTTTTGGGTCGATAGTCCTTGCATGTATTAATTATTTTATTTTACTTTAAGCAAGCCCATGAGCAAATTCATTGATTCAACAGTCTTCTCAACCTAGTTGATAAACAAAACCAAGAAGTTCATCAGTCCAATTTATATTATTATAAACAGAAATAGTAAAAGCAAACCCCAGCCAAAGGTTGAATTTCCTAGGAAGGAATTGAAAGGAGAAATTGCTCATCAGAAAGACCCTGGCCCTAGCCCACCCCTAACTTTAAAAGCAACTGAGAATAACTAGTGCACGGGTCCAACCATAACCAGCCTGTAATTACTTAATTAAGAGCTAAAAGTGGAATTAACCACATAATCGATCTCGAGATGAGGTTTGCCAAATTAAAGCCCATAGCTGGCTGTGACTCAGGTGAGGAAGGATGGGGAGAAAAGATGGACCCATGATATATAACATCTATCTGTAAATTTTAGGCTGAAAGTGATTTAAAATAAGTGTTTATTTGGGTTGGGATTAAATGATTACTTTGAGAATAAGATAACTGGTTAATTCAAGAAATTCAAAATTAGAATTTATTTTTAAGTACTTATTCAATAAGCCATGGTTTTCAAAATCAGACTGGACTAACCGGCCAAAACTCACTTTTTGGCCAACAAAACATTGATTTGGTCAGTGATCTGTTGATCGAGGCAGTCGAACCGTTGAATCAGACAATGGTTTTTTGTTGTTTTTTTTTACTTTTTTTTTATATATTTATTTAAGTTACAATGGGTCGTCCATTCGAATTGGACACCTAGACCGTTCGACCCAGGAACCGGTCCCTAGAATGATTCCTTGTCTGGTCTGACTTTAAAAACCTTGCAATAAGCACTTATTTCCTTTCTAGCCTGTCTTGACCCACCACATTATTTTGAAAATACCTATACTACTACCCGTATTTGAAACAAGTGCTTTTTTAGCAAACTCTCATAAACACATATAGGCCAGGTTTGGGAGTGCTTAAAAATAAGTGCTTATTTGGGCCATTAAGAGCTTATTGGTATTTGGAAAATATGCCTTAAATAAGTGCTTATTGTAAAAATAAGGGCTTATTTTTTAAGCCCAAATTTCCAGCTTTTTTTAAGTGCTTATATAATAAGCACTTATTCAACTTTTTTCTTCCAAAATTACCCTAGTTGAATTTTATAAAAGTACTTTTATGAAAGCACTTATACAAAAATACTTTTATGAAAGCACTTTATAAAAGTAAAAAGTACTTTCATAAAAATGTTTTTGTAAAAGTATGTTCGTAAGTGTTTTTATAAAAGTACTTTCGTAAAAGTGTTTTTATAAAAGTACTTTCATAAAAATGTTTTTATAAAACTACTCCATAAAAGTGTTTTTATAAAAGTAATTTAATGAAAGTTTTTTCAAAGGATATATTTTGAAAATTTAAAAAGAAAATAAAGAACAAAATAATCACAAATGCTTATTCAAGTGCTTACGAGAGAAAAAATTCTCAAACACCCAATACAAAAAGTTAGATACCAAATACAAATAAATACTTATTTGAATAAACACTTATATTTAAACACTTAATTTTAACTTAAATACTCCCAAACATGATCTTAATAAAACAAACACCTATTTTTCAGACAAATACTCCCAAACTTGCCTTAATTTCATTAGTATAAAGTACAGTGGACGTGAAATTAAATTGGGTCCAGTGACTATCACCGTGACCCCAATGGAAGATGCCCCACCGCCCACCCAGGTTTCAGACTGCTCGAGACAATTCAAGAGTTATGGGTGAGGATGGGCCAATCTGCAATCTCCAATCATACTGCAGGTTGCATACATGCATACATCTGATTTGATCGACTCCTCGGCCAATTGTGCCCCCCACTTCACTTTCGGATGCACTTGTACCAAAAATAAAAGAAGAATTCTTTATTAGACCACCGCTGTAACAGAGGAGAGCTCCGCTCAATTTGGCAAGTCATAAGTTTGGCTAGAAAGAACCACACTGAATTTAAAGGTGTATAGTGGCCCGTGCCGCCCTCCCTAGTGAATAGTTTGATGATCGGCCCGACATGGCAAATGACCCAAGCTGTGTGGGCCCGTGCCATGGATTGGGTTGGTCCGTGGGCTAAGTTTGGCCAAAGTTAGGCTATGGATTGGGTCAAAGTTATTTTTGCTTATTTATTTAAAGAATTAAAAAAACTTAAAATTTTAATTTTATATGAATTTTGATGTATAAAATATTATAATTGTTTATATATACACTAGTTAAATAAATTAGTATAATAAAATTGAAAATAATCATTTATTTTATTAATATATTATATATTATATATTATTATATAATTATAATTTATATAATATATAATATATAATATATAATATATAATATATATAAATATAATATATTATATTATATATATTAATATATAAATAGTATATATGGGTTGTGTTGGGCCAGTCACGGGCTAAGCCGTGCTGGCACATAGGCCGCAGTTGGCACGGTCCGCGGACCTAAAACCCTAGGCCTAGCACAACACGGACCATCGTGCTAGGCTTGGCACAGCTCGCATGCCGGGCCGAGCGGCACAACCCAATTTACACCTCTAACTGAATTATGTTAAAAGTCAGTTCACATTTGTGCCCCACAACACATCCCAATCTTGTATTGGGTACATCTCCCGATGATTAGGTCGAGAGATGATGAAACATCGTTGGGAGATGTTCCCAATACAAGGTCGGGATGTGTTGTGAAATATTGTGGGGCGCAGATGTGAACTAGTTAAAAAGTAAAAACTACTGTGTTTGATTGTTTTTATTTTTTATTCCATCAGATTCAAAGGAATTGGCTAATTTCTTATGCCACTTCCACTAGATGTATTGTATCGTAGATAGCCCATGCATGCAGAGAGACCTCTCAGGACCATAGATGATCGGACCATTCAACCTAAAAACCATTTAGATAATTGGTTTCGTTTCACTCCAAAACCGTTCCTTTACTAAAAATTGTTGATTTAATCAGTAACCTACTTTTGGACAATGAAATCATCAACCCATTTGACCCAGAGAATGATTTTTTCTATCAGATCATCCATTTCAACCGAACGATTAAACCACTAACCAAAAAATCGGTGGCCAAAGCAGTTACAATTTCGAATAGATCTCCAATGTGACGATTGATCTGGTTTGGCCATATATCTTAAACATTTGAGTTGGCTGCCTTTTTATGCTTCTCAAAGCGGCGATCTCCACTACAAAGATGAATATGAATCCCACTTACACTTTGATGGTGGGCATAACAAAAAACAAACCAACTACCGGCATGGTTTATATTTTATAGAACAGGCAATTAATATTAATTTGCTTTGATATAAATTAAAACACCAAACTGACAAGTTGGTGCTAGCGTGAATGCGTGATGATTCTTTAATTAGCATCTAAATATAAAAAATATATTATTCATGTACCACTACCTCACATTATTTATTAACAATTTTTGTATTGGTAATAAATTTAGGAGTGAAGAGAACAGAACCAGCCAACATAGACAAGATTGAAGGAAAAGAAAACAAAATCTGAGGGCCCCATTGATACGTTTTTTTGCGTGGATTTTGGGCTGTTTATAAACTGAGAAGAGCGATTTTTTATTTATTCCTGTTTGATTTGCAGAAGATTTAATCGCCAAAAAATAATGCATCAAAAAGATGCGAAAAATCTATTTTGAACTGATTTCGAGAAGTTTCAAATAAAGTATCCCACGTTTTTCGCTTTTTAATCTCGCACAGAAAGACACAACAGACGCACAAAAAAACATACGTCTGCCAAAAATTCAATGCGTCCTTCGACTGTCTGAGCAATAAGAAAGATTCTCAATTCGTCCTATCTCCTTTATACTAGAATCCAAAAATCAAAGAAATGTAAAGAAGAAGAGTATGAAAGCAAGAGAAATATTAATCAACCTCAAAGATGTGAAGCATATTTCTTTTTCTTTGTCTATTCTTTGAATATTGGGAAATAAATGAAACCTTCTTAGGCAGGCATGAAAACATGTCTCTGGGGAGTGATGAGTAGTACTGCAAATTGGATTTTCATGGACTCTGTGTTTCTGTAAGGGTATTTTAGACCAAACAAGAATTGAAAATTGAAGGGTGATGCGGCAATACTGAATGAATGAATGATCAATGAAGATACATGAAAAGACAGCGTATAGTGGCCCGCTCTCCTCCCTTTCACTCTTCCCTGAGACCGGAGAAGAAGAATTCAAACAAAATTCCCATTTTAAGAATTGCTTACGACGATGGTTGGTAGTTGGTACAACTCCCTTCCCACGAATCAACGAATGAAACAGATTCCATAAAACTGGTTCAAGAAACTCTCTCTCTCTCACTAAATCCACCCCAGAGCTCAAAAAGAGTTCCGCTTTATTGCCTTCTATTCCTGGAACTACATTTGAAGAAACGTACTTGCATTCCCTGTATCTATATTGCTCACCAGATTAAGTACAGGGATGAAAAGCTGTTACGTATTGATATTTACAGATTTCCATTCCAAATCCAAAGCAAAGAGAGGAAATGAAACAAACCTACATGGTACAGAGCACACCGAACACAGTGAAACAGAGGATCTAACCTAGTTTCGTGAGGGGGACGGAAAAAAGAAACAAGAAAGTGGATTGAAATTTGAAATATCAGGACTCACGAAATCATCAAAATGGCGCAGAGATATATTAAACTTGTCTTATTTGAATGATTTTTCTACCAAAAATGTGTAGATCTCTTGCAGGACGGCGGGCTAATTTGGGGGACTGTAAAACCACCATCGTCTCTCCACCGTTTGTTTGCAGCAGTCTTTTGATTGCTTGCCTCCTTAAATCCATTTTCAAAGTTGATTTCGTTGGGTAAGCAGTAAGGAGTGGTTGAGGCTTGTGGCACTTGAGGTACGCAGATCGTTATATCTTGAGCAGCGAAGCTCCAACTGTTTTCGAGATCCATATCCTGAATTTGAAACGGAGATAGATCATCACCCTGAAATGAAACCAACAATCAACAAAAAAAACAGGTTTAGATTTCATTTATTTTCTCTTTTACCCAGTTGGGTCTTCTGGAGGGGAAAGAAAAACGGTGCACAGTGCAAACCTTACAGAAACCATGGGGAGCAGAGTAGGAGTCAAGAAAGTCCTCGACTTGCCATCCCGGCAACATCTTTATCAAGTACTCCGATATGCTACTGGTCGATCCCCCTCCGCTTGCCGGATGATCATCAGACTTGTGAGTCGTAATAGTAGCAGTAGTTGTTGGTGGCGGTGGCGGTGGTGGAGGTGACGGTTTCTCAACTACTGGCGGTGTAGGATGAACAACCGCTCCAGAACAAAGCGGCACGGATTTCTTTTTCAAGTAAAGCTTTGAGTTGTTTAGTTTATCTTTCACAGAATCACAGACATCATTGATGGATGAGTTGGTGGTGGAATAGAGAGATGAGGAGGGAGAAAGCTTCACGCCGGTTAGGAGAAACCTGTTGTGTTTTTTGGTCTGTTCGTTGGCCGTGTGAATGGGAAGGTCACACTCTCTGCATAGAATAGCTCTGTCCTCCTGACAGAACAGAAAGGCGCGCCTCTCCTACAAGAACAGAAAGGGAAGAAAAATAATTAAACGAACAATGTAAAGCTCTGGAAATTTGAGAGCAGAGAGAGAGAGAGAGAGAGGGAACCTGGCAGACGTCGCAACGAGGGGTTTCTTTGAAGGAAGGATGGAGGAGAGAAAAGCGTAGGTGTTTGCCGGCGAGCTTATTGGCGTGGTGGACGCGTCGGTCACAGCCATCGCAGAGAGCAGCCTCGTCAGCGGAGCAGAACAGGGAGGCTTCATCTTGATTACAAACGTCGCACTGGATCTTCATTGTGTATGTTATTTATTGATTTGCTTTTAGCCTGGCGAGAGAGAAATGAACAAAGAATGATGGAGAAGAGAAAAGGAGGAGCTTCAACCAAACTCACACTCACAGAACCAATCAAGAGCAAAAATCGGGAATTGAAGTGTCGACTTATAAGAGGAAGAAGGCGACACTTTTTGCTCGATTTAATGAATAAATTAATAAATAAAATATGATGAGATTGATATGGGATTGTAGTGGACCTGCAGCCGATTGAACTCAACTACTGATCGTCGTCTTATCTTCTCTCTCTCTATGGTATTTGTTGATTGTATTGTATCTGTTGTTAAAAAGGAGACTAGCCAGGGAATCCATCTGAAAGTCTTAACCATCTGAATTCTCAGAGCCACTGTTAGTCTGTTATATAAAATATTTAAATGATCAATGTGTCACTCACTATATGGAGCAGCAACAGAGCTAGTTGAAAATATAATATAGATAAACAAAAATTACAAAAAAAAAGAATGGCTTCGGGTCTATTATTTCGTATTATTCTATAACTAGCGGGCACCCGTGTGATCTACGGGATTTATCAAAGGAAAGTGAAACAGTAGAAACCGATAATGCTATGTTATTTAAAATAATTAATTTTTATTTTAGTGACGATCCTCAACCTGATCCAACTCGCCAAATTACAAGAAATGTGACATTCATAATTCATAATTAGATTGAATCAAATTGAGTAGAACCCATGCATACATTATTTTTTGGTTTTTAATATTTTTAGTCCCGGTCAAGTATCACTATTAATTCCTATCCCCGCCCCCATCATTGCTAATGCATCTTCAATCCCATGAGGTTGAGGAAGCCAATTACTTGATAGAGACGGAAAAAACTATCATCCCTATAGGTCTAGCTAGGTTAGGCTAAGTTACAAATGATCATCTCTACTAAGAAAAAGTTTTATGACATTTTTAATTAAGTCATTGATAGTTTTATTATTTTAATTAATTTTATATGGAATGCACATGTTTTATTTTATTATTTTTAATAATTTTTATTGTTTATTATTAATTTTAATTATCCTATTAATAATAATTATTTTTAAATAGAATTCAAATGTATTTTAATATTTAATTTAGGAATTGCTAATTTTTATTAATTTCTTTTTTTAATAGTTGTTAGACAAAAACTTGCTAAAACTTAATATTTTTATTAACTTTAGTAACTTTTTGTTAATGAATTGAAATGTAAAATAAATAAATGGAATTTTCATATCAGTAAAATTCTCTCTTTGGAATGATCACCCCTAAGCAAATTGCTTTTTGTATACTATATTAATGAGGAGAGGAGAAAAATAAAATAAAAAAGGAAAAAGAGTATTGTTATTTTGTTGTTGATGTTGTTATTTATGGGAGGAGAGAGATTGAAAGTGAGTGAGATGGAGAAATTATTATTATTTTTATCATTATTATTATAATTGAACACTTATTATTATTATTATTATTCATATCATTATATACTAATAATAATTATTACTATATTATTAAAATTATTGTTATTATATTATTATTATTAAAAATAATATTAATTGATGTAGGCGCGCATGGCCTTGGCCAATGGCGAGCTTACATGTGTTTGATGGTGATGCTTATAGCGGACCCAGTCAAGACGTGCGTAGAGCAGAGGTTGGCGTGCAATTTGGAACCAATGGCGCGATCGCACTTGACGAGCTCGGGTGACCGCGACTCCCATGTCCAGACTACATCCTGACCGTCCGAGCCCACCTTCCAGGCGGCCTCAAGTATAAATAGGGGGCAATCCCCTCAAGGTAAACATTTGGAACCTAGACTTGAGAACTCTTAACTTCCTTTGTGGCCTCGTTTGAGTGTCTCCACCTCAGGTTTCTTCCACCTTGCATTGCACCCATACTAACTTAATCGTCAGAGTCTTCGCCTCAAGTACCAACACTGGGCCTTTGACGTTCTCCTTCCCTTGCTCCTCGCAGGACCGGCCTACCAGCCCTCGGCCACTCCAGGCATCGGACTACTCAGCCACACCTCGTCTCGGAATCGAATTGACAATGTTGCCCTCAGCCCATTTTGACCGGCAACAATTGGCGCCGTCTGTGGTAACGTCGCAAAGACTTCCCTCAATTAAATTCACACTCTAAGAAATCTAAGGAACTAACCCCTAAGCTTCAACTGACATGACAAGAAACACCAGGAACACTCAGAACCTAGTAATGATGGACCAGTTTCAAGTGGTCCTTGACCGGCTTGACAACCTTGTGTAGAGGTTGGACGAGGTGGGGCACCCGGAAGGAGGCCGCCCTCAGGGTAGCCACCCCGCTAGAAGCCTGGGGCACCATGGCGAGTGTGCGTCTCCGGACTCGTTAGCCATTGGCCTAGTCAGATCTAATAGGGCTGACCCCTCAGAGTCCAATAGTAGCCGACATGCCAGCCAGCCGTCGAGGATCTCTCGACCCCCTAGCCAAAGAGGGGAAGAATCTGCATAGTCTCACGACCACCGCCGAGACCAAGAACATCACCATTGCCACCGACGAGAGAACTACGATGACGAAGGCGGTGGTCAAGTCATAACAACCCCCCTTTGAGGGCCAAGGGCCGATGCTGCGCCTCTCCCTCTCACGTCTCAGACCTCTAAGACCTCCTGAACAACAGGCGGGATGCCAGAGCCATCCATCTAGGAGGATGGATGCCTTCATCTCGAATATCATCGCCAAGCGTCTCCCGCCGCACTTCAAGGCGCCCATGCTCGAGATGTATGATGGAATAACGGACCCAAATGACCACTTTGAAAGTTTTATGGCACTCATGCTCCTCTATGGATATTCTGATGCCTTGGCGTGCCAGACTTTCTAGGAAACTTTCAAGGGGACAGCCCGTCGATGGTTCTCCGGACTCCCACCTCTGTCTATAGGTTCATGGGAACAGTTTGCCAGTCTCTTCCTCACCCATTTCGTTAGCAGCAGGCAATGCCAGAAGAGTGTCGTCTCGCTCATGGTCATTCTATAGAAGCGCACGAGAGCTCGTGGTCCTACATTGACCGCTTCAAGAAGGAAGAACTCAAGGTCTGGACCTTGACTCCATGGTCTCCACGCACTCTGCCATCAAAGGCCTCCTGCCAGGCTCGACCCTCAAGTACTTGGTAGCCAAGACCCTGCCAAAGTCCAAGGCAGAATTCTTGAAGAAGGCTCAAAAGTATATTGCCGCCAAGGAGGCCTCGACCGACAATCGCCGGGAAGGAGAGGCCGACCGCTATCACGAAGGCCTGTAGAAGAAGAGAGGAAATGGAGTTGGCTGCAACGACAACAACAATAACATCAGCAAGGACAACAAGAAGCTGCGACCTTGGCCCTGGCTTATAGCAAGTACATTCCACTCAACTCCACCCAAACACAGATCCTCATGCAAGTAGGGAAAGAGGAGTACATGAAGTGGCTAGAGAAGATGAAGAGGAACCCCAAGAGGGAAAACCCAAAGAAGTACTGCAAGTATCACCGTGGCACGGGCCACAATACCGAGGACTTCTATGAGTTGAAAAATGAAATCGAGTCCCTCATCCGCCGCGGCCATCTGAAGCAGTACTTTGGGGGCGAGGTCGGTGCCTCGTCCTCGCAGCAGCAGTAATAGCAGCAACAACAGTTAGTCGGCATCATAGACTTCATCGTCAGGGGCACGACCTTGGGTGGAGCCTTGGCCTTGGCCCGCAAGGCCTATGGCAGGCAGTTGAACATCCAAGGGCTAGCCCCCAAGAAGTAGAAGCAGAGTGAAATCCTTGCCTTCACAGACAAGGATTTGAAGGGGATCATAGTCCCCCATGATGACGCACTTGTGGTATCCACTGTCATCGTGAATTTTATGGTGAACAGGATATTGGTGGACAGCGGTTCCTCGGCCGACATCCTCTTCTATGATGCATTCGAGATAATGGAACTAGCGCCCAAGCGCCTCCAACCCACTGACGTGCCACTCGTCAGCTTCTCCGGGAATGTGGTCAGACTGGAGGGAAGAATCACCCTACCAGTCATGGTGAGGATCGACTCCCCTTACAACACCATTATCGGAAGGCCAACCCTCCACGCACTCAAGGCAGCCATCTCCTCCTACCACTTCGCCCTCAAATTCCCCACCGAGCACGACATTAGAGTTGTTTGCAGGGATCAACAAGTCGCCTGCCAATTCTACGTGGCAGCACTGAAGGGTAAGAAGAAGGAAGCCCTGCCACTTGAGGGCCTCAAGCTCAGGGAGGAACCAACGAGCCGAGGCCAATCGACCGAAGACCTCATTTCGATCCCCCTAGACGAGGCCGAGCCTGAGAAAATAGTCCATGTCGGGTCCAACCTTCCCCCAGAAAGCCTATCCGAACTGGTAAGTTTCCTCAAAACTAATGCCGACGTCTTTGCTTGGTCTGCCACTGACATGCCTAGAATTGACCCTTCAGTCATCATTCACAGGTTGAGCATGGACCCGAGCTCTAGGCCAGTTCGGCAGAGAAAGAGAAACTTTGCACTGGAGCGATGAAAGGATATCGGAGAGGAAGTTGACAAGCTACTCGACATCAGCTTTATCTGAGAGGTACATTACTCTAACTGGTTGTCCAATGTGGTTATGGTAAAGAAAGCTAATGGGAAATGACAGATCTGTATTGACTTCTCAGACCTCAACAAAGCCTGTCCCAAAGATAGTTTTCCTTTTTTGAGGATAGACCACCTCGTTGACGCCACCATAGGGTATGAGCTACTTAGCTTCATGGATGCCTTTTCCGGATATAACCAGATCATGATGCACTCCGAGGATGAACAGAAAACCTCATTCATCATCTAGCACAACATGTATTGTTACAAGTAGAGGTGGATTTGAGCCGAGCCGAGCCGAATAGTATTAGGCTCGAGCTTGGCTCACCAAAGTACTACAACGCTCAAGCTCGAGCTCGAGCTTGGTTTGAGCTAGAACCTTGAGCTCGAGCTCGGCTCAGCTCAAGCTTGACTTGAGAAAAAAGTGTTTTATAAAAATAACAAAGTATGTATAAAAATATCTTTTATTTGTAATTGGGCTCGAAGTTCAGTTGAAATTGAGCCAAGTCGAGCTTTTCATGAGCCGAGCTCGAGTAGCTCGTGAAGAGCTCGACTCGTAGCCACCCCT